TTTTTCGCAGGTGGCCTAAAATTGGACTTGCAGTTATTATTGTTTTGACAATAACGGGATTTGTAAATTTCTTATATGTCTCTATAAAGAATGAATTAGTATTAATGTTTGGAATAGACTCGAAGATGACGTATGTATATATTTTATATAGTAATATTTTAAATGCTTTTTTAAAACATATTTATATATGTATTCACATTTTTCTTTACCATGGCATTGTTGTTAAGAAAATAATAGTAAAATACAGTGTGCGAATTTTTGATCAGAAGATCATTAGTGATCAGAATTATGCAAAGATAAAGATATAANTTTATATATGTATTCACATTTTTCTTTACCATGGAACGTCTTGGTATTGTTGTTAAGTAAATAATAGTAAAATACAGTGTGCGAATTTTTGATCAGAAGATCATTAGTGATCAGAATTATGCAAAGATAAAGAATTAAATCCGGGAAAAGATAGAAGATAAATTTTAAAATTATAGTGTAATAAACATAAAAAGATAACATTAATACAATAATAAATTACTGTAGTTTTTGCTTATTTTTACTTTCCTGGCTGTGTTATATATAACAGAAAGAAAGTGTGACAATAGGTCAAAAAATGACCCTCTCATGATTTTTATATTCTTGGATTCAGGATACCTTGAAACGTTGAGAAATACAAAAAAAATCCAGGGTGATTTTCTGTATGTATGAATGATAGTCGTGTGTGTATATAAAGGTGTGTGGGGGGTACGTTTTATTTATTTTTTTGAAGCTTAATATCTCCTGTGCTTTGTGACAAAAATTTCTGAAATTTTGTAAAGTTGTTTGGGTATTATATGCCAGTAATTTTGGTTGTTAAACTTCGAGGGCGTACGGAGATAAAGGGCAATCGTGTGTTCAAATTTTGCAAAAGTAGTAGTTTGATCTGTAAAATTTCTTTTGTCATGTTAGATATGTGCTTCAATTAATTGTAGACGATTGTAACAAATTTCCAGTATTCTCACACTTTAAAATTATTTTCAGAATGATTATTGATTACTTTCTTCACGTGTATGAAAGGCCACAATATACACATTTGAGTTCGTATTGCTTGGGTATGCTGATTGGATGTACAGTACGGAAGNCAATACGCAGATGCAGTTTTTTTCGTTTTTGCGGGACATCGAACATATTTTTAGACCCATCTAAAAATTCTCTAATTAGTCTGGAAACAAGGGGACCCAATTCTTGCATTCTGTGAAAACGGGTAAGGTTGACTGTAACGTAATAATCTTTATCTTAGTTATCGTTACTTTTGCCCGAGCAACGCCGGGCACACCCGCTAGTTTATAATAAAAATGTAGAGTCTTTATTGCAGCATGGATGGGCAGGATGATTAATCTTCCATTGTTGTCGTCGTGTCTTGTTAGCTGTGGTCGAGAGTGTCGTTTTCGTGTCTGTTTTTGTCTCGTAGTTCTGCCTGTTTGGTATACATGATAACTCTAGAAGCTTCGTTATTGTTAAAACATTATCTTCGTGATCCGTGCAGTTTGATTTGAGGCTATACCGAAAACATGATTTACGGCTATAGCCTCCATATAAACTGTGTGAAATAAAAAAAAAGTTCTTTCGCAATTTATTTCTTCTCACTTTCTTGTCTTATCCTTATGAATGTTGCAATTGTGTTTATATTTCTTCCCCTACATTTTGCTTTATAATAATCACTTTGATGCGACATAAGACATTTTTCCGCTAAAGAGAGCCTGGAGAGAGGTGTAAGTAAATATGCATAAAATGTTTCTACTTCAAAAAATCTCGTGTTATTGTTTTTATGAAAATCGTACGCCCGTACGATCGAAATTCACTGATATGAATATTTAAATTCCTTCCTGATTTTTGGATCGTCTTTCATTATAAATTTTGACGTAGTAAACACTAGTATTGTGTTTTATTCCAAAGACATGTGGCATATTTTTCATCAAATTCCTTTATTAGTTGAGTCCATACGGTACATTGTTTTGTACTCGTTTCGGGCTTTGCCCCTCTTCAGTCAACTTTTGGTTACACTTTGACTGAAGAGGGGCAAAGCCCGAAACGAGTACAAAACAATGTACCTTATCGACTCAACTAATAAAGCAATTTGATGGAAAATTTGCCACATGTCTTTGGAATAAAACACAATACTAGTGTTTACTGCGCCACAATTATAAAACAGGACACGGTTTCAAAACACAAATTTATAAATTTTGAGTTAATAACTGCTTTTAAGAAATTATTTTGCTCTAAATGTAATTTCCCATTTATAATATATTTATAAAATCGAATACTTAATAGTAATAATCTAATTATATATTAAAACTTTTATCTTATGACATTATATATTTGTATATTAAAAGCACATTTACATATAAAATTGATAAGTATAGCATATATTTTTTTCGCAGGTGGCCTAAAATTGGACTTGCAGTTATTATTGTTTTGACAATAACGGGATTTGTAAATTTCTTATATGTCTCTATAAAGAATGAATTAGTATTAATGTTTGGAATAGACTCGAAGATGACGTATGTATATATTTTATATAGTAATATTTTAAATGCTTTTTTAAAACATATTTATATATGTATTCACATTTTTCTTTACCATGGAACGTCTTGGTATTGTTGTTAAGTAAATAATAGTAAAATACAGTGTGCGAATTTTTGATCAGAAGATCATTAGTGATCAGAATTATGCAAAGATAAAGAATTAAATCCGGGAAAAGATAGAAGATAAATTTTAAAATTATAGTGTAATAAATATAAAAAGATAACATTAATACAATAATAAATTACTGTAGTTTTTGCTTATTTTTACTTTCCTGGCTGTGTTATATATAACAGAAAGAAAGTGTGACAATAGGTCAAAAAATGACCCTCTCATGATTTTTATATTCTTGGATTCAGGATACCTTGAAACGTTGAGAAATACAAAAAAAATCCAGGGTGATTTTCTGTATGTATGAATGATAGTCGTGTGTGTATATAAAGGTGTGTGGGGGGTACGTTTTATTTATTTTTTTGAAGCTTAATATCTCCTGTGCTTTGTGACAAAAATTTCTGAAATTTTGTAAAGTTGTTTGGGTATTATATGCCAGTAATTTTGGTTGTTAAACTTCGAGGGCGTACGGAGATAAAGGGCAATCGTGTGTTCAAATTTTGCAAAAGTAGTAGTTTGATCTGTAAAATTTCTTTTGTCATGTTAGATATGTGCTTCAATTAATTGTAGACGATTGTAACAAATTTCCAGTATTCTCACACTTTAAAATTATTTTCAGAATGATTATTGATTACTTTCTTCACGTGTATGAAAGGCCACAATATACACATTTGAGTTCGTATTGCTTGGGTATGCTGATTGGATGTACAGTACGGAAGAAGATTAAAATAAAATTTAGTAAAGTACGTATTATGTTATCGGCTTTTATTTTAGTGATGTTATTTTTTATATTTGTTGAAAAAAAATTGTAGTGTTCGCAACTTGATATTTCATTAAAAAATTTATATTTTAATAAATTTTTAAAACTATTTTTAGATATTCGTCACTTGTTGTTGGATTGTAACTAGTATTTTTCTGGGATATGTATGTTTTGGCTTGCATAGTTATGTTACTGATCCGTATCCAAATCAAATACCTTTGCGTATACATCAAATACTTTCACCATTTCTGTGGATTGCTTCGATAATTTGGGTGCTTGTAGCATGCTACACTGGACACGGAGGTAAGTGTACTACAGTAGAGCCTCGATTATCCGACCCAATTGGGGACTGGGGTTGGTCGGATAATTGAAAAGTCGGATAACCGAAAAGTATAAAAAAATCCATTATTAGTGTACTATATTTTTATATCCCATGTAATTAGTATATTAGTTTATCGCTATTAACCTAATTCGCGTTGAAATTTTCATCGATGTTAAGCCTAACAAAAATTTTTAAAAATAATAATCGTCGCTATTCTATCGTTAAAAATTAGAAATTTAAGCCTCGTTTAAATACTAGCTCCCTTTCATGGTCAAATGAGTGTTGCCAGCTAAAACACGTAAAAATACTATTAAAGTAGCCAAGACATAGCCAAATATTGTAGCGCCACATCACTAGCGAACACTTGAAATTAGGACGGTCGGTTAACCGAGGTGTCGGTTAATCGGATGTCGGATAATCGAGGTTCTACTGTATATTTATCGTAATAATTTAAAATAAAATTTTTCACTTATCGAAAGAAACAATATATTATGTGCATTTTTTCTATTTAGTGTTTAGATGATGATAGAAAACAGTCATTAATAGAATCGTCCTGTATCTAAAAAATTAAAATTATATTATTATTAATACGGGTTAAACTGTGCTCCTATTCATAAACACGGAATAAATTAACTAAGGTGTTATGATTTTGCAATTACGTTTTTAACAGTAAAGGATTTTGTTGTTTTTATCTAATTTTCTTCGAGGATATTCCAGACACCAGTCGACCCCCCTATAACACTGTTGATTATTCCGTTTTATATGAACTCCATGTTGTACGAGTCATTTCGATTTTACAAATACATGAGCTGTTCACAGCCCGGCACACATATTTGTAAAATCTAAGTGACTCGTACAACATGGAATTCGTATGAAACAGAATAATCAACAGTGTTATAGGGGGTCGACTTTCAGCTCGGTTTCGCGACTAACCAATGGGCTGACTAATGGAGTTTTTGGAATTATTCGTGTGTCTGACATCTAAATAGAAGCATGTTTCCAGTCGACAGATCGCCCATGTGTTGCATTCTCTTATCCCATTGATGTAATCTAATTCATGCTGTTTTCACTAAAATATTTATACAACTTTTGTTAATTAAGGCTATATTTAGTATGATTCTCTCCTAATATCACAAAAATGGCTGAAACAAAAATATACAATGAAATTACAGCATGAGATTTTTTTAATTAAATTTTAAACTTTAATTAGACATGATTTTCAATGTTTTTATATATTTTTAGGTATTTTGAATAAATTTTTGTCTCTTGATGTGTTTGTCATATTGGACCGTCTTGTGGCATGGATGTACGTTTTAAACAGCTTGATAATTCTTTACGTTATTGGAGAAATAAGAAGTCCTATACCTATGACAGAAATTAATTTGGTACATACATTTATAATATAATATATATTTTACTGTATAATATATAAAGTATTAAAGTATAATATATAAATTATTTACTTTATAATATATAAAGTAAATGTATATTATTTATAACATAATATACATTTACTTTATTTATATCGCAGAACTGTGCAAAATTTTAAATTAATAATATTATACTATAAATAATCAAATTACATTTTAATTATTATTAAGTAATATAATTGTATACAATTTTTTTGTTTTTAAATACTAAGAACAGAAAAAATCTATGTCGGTGTTATGGATAAAAATATTAATGAGAGGGTGAAAAGGTATACACAGTGAAATCTGTGAACAACGACCACTGAGAAAACAAAGAGAAAATGGCCGCTGTTTGGAGGTGACCGTTGTTTGCAAATCATTTTGTATGATGCATTTCAAAAAGAAGTGTCTCTGAAAAAAATGGCCGTTGTCGAAAAACTATACTGAATAGGCGCCAGATTACTCATAGAAGTTCTCCAGGAAGAATTGTACTTGGCAGATTGCACACGTGTTGCGTTGCCGTACCTATACAACAGAACTTATAATTTATTGTGGGTAATACGGAGTAAATTATCGATCTCCATGATCTGTGCTGATTGACTCCGTTACTATCACGCTTTAATATATCTAACTATAGCTGACTATATAGCGGACTAATTGCTAATGTTTTGTTTTATTCAACAAATCAATCAATCTTTTTAACGGTAAATTCCCTGATGTCCATCACTATAAAACAATGCCAAAAAAATAAATTAACAGGATGAGAACAGTGAAAATCTCACTCGTATGCCTTTTCGCCAATCTATATATAAGTTATATTTTTTTAAATTAAGTGAGAATAAATTGTAATGTATATAATTTATGTTTCTTACACTTTTCTAGTGGATGCTGTTTCTATTTGTTACATTCTTCACAATTATTGCATCGATTTTTGGCTACATATTTCTCCAAATGCCATTTACGTACTTGTTTATTCTGCTGTTATCCTGTTGTAAAAGAAAGAAAAGTTTAAAAATATCGGATTCAAAAACGGAATCGTTAAACAAAAGAAATCACTTTGCTATATCTATGAAAATAAATAATTATATTTTAAACTTACACAAATATATTTTGCAATAAGATATTTTAATGCTTAACTGAATGAAGATTAATTAATTGATTTGTGAATTATTTTTTGTCTGTGTAAGGGGTGTTTCTGCAAAAATAAACTTATTTTTTTTAACAAACTTTTTTATATTATATGTTATTTGTAAAATAAAAATTTTTATTGTACTAAATAAAATATATAGCCTATGAGAGAAAAATTTTTTAATATTATATGTTTTTAAAAGTTACAAAATACTGCTTTTATTGATGACGTTTTTTGAGATTGGTATATGGTGGGGTGGACCGTACACTAATGTCGAAAATTAGACCACATACCAATTGAATGTAATCGTGCTCTGTATATGGTGAAATGGTCCACCCCACCATATATATTGCATTACTAAATTCAATGTGTGTATGAATTCAGAATCATTGAATTTACATACATATATCACGAGAAAACTTCATATTTTATTATATATATATATATGTTCCAGGATGAAAATTATGGTGTACATCAAGCCATNGTTTGAAAATTGCAATATTAATGGGTATTCGTGATTCCTCAGACTGCATAGTTGGAATTCAATTGAGCACTTATGGGATCATGCAAGTCGTAATTTAAAACGTAGCCAAAGGCTACGGATGTAAATGCTCTTTGATATCAAATTCAAACTGTCTAAAACAATATTAAGAAATCTGTATACTTGAAATTAATTAATTAATATCTCAACGAATACACAATTATAAAAGAAAATATATTAATTAGCGATTTCGTATCGTTACTCCTTTCAAAAAATATCTCAAAATGTCTTTGCGTATTATGTATTTAATAAAGAATATCTTTATTTGTATAATGATTCAGTTTGATTTATATCTCAAGATAACTTGTTTTGAAATAATAGTGTACAAAATATACACAGACTGCAACGATACAGACAATAACGTATTTAATTTGTTACATCAGGTTATTTTCTTTAAACCTTCGGTACAAATATAGTAACACCTATTTTAAATCACCCAGTTTTAAAATACAATAAGACTTATTGTATTTAACTTGCATATAAGAGAAAAATGTCATTATTTGGTAAAAATAATTGCATCTCTCCTAAACATTACAGTTTAAGTCAGGAAACAAAACAATAGATATGCTATTGTTTATAGAATTATCGTTAAAAGCTTCGTATTTACCGTCTTGAATACTGCAGATATACGATCTCATTGTAACTTTGTATGTAATCTTCAAATCTGAATGGCTAAGGCTTTATCTATTTCTCTTTGTATACAAATTTACTTTGATATTATATAAAAGNTTAATATTATATGTTTTTAAAAGTTACAAAATACTGCTTTTATTGATGACGTTTTTTGAGATTGGTATATGGTGGGGTGGACCGTACACTAATGTCGAAAATTAGACCACATACCAATTGAATGTAATCGTGCTCTGTATATGGTGAAATGGTCCACCCCACCATATATATTGCATTACTAAATTCAATGTGTGTATGAATTCAGAATCATTGAATTTACATACATATATCACGAGAAAACTTCATATTTTATTATATATATATATATGTTCCAGGATGAAAATTATGGTGTACATCAAGCCATACCGTAAAACGCTATTAAAATGCATTGTCATTGGACTTATCTCCTCAAACATTCAGCCTTCTATCATAATTAAAAATGGATGAAATTTAAGTTGCAATATTTCAGGATACGATAAAAATCAATTTTAAATAAAATGAATTTACACTAATATTTAATAAATATTATTTCGGTCTCCCAAAATCTGAAAAAATCAGAGAAATTCCCCGAAATTCTCTTTCCATCAAGTGACATAATAAAATTAAAAAGAACAAAATAGATTCAATTACAAATAACTAAAATACATCATAGATTTCTAAGTATTGTTACTTCATAATACAGTACTTGCAATTTTTATGTAATATTCTATTGTTTAACTGACTGCTACAATCGTCTTTAGAACATGTTTAAAAATGTAATTATAATACTGTCATATAATAGAAGAAACTGTTCAAAAATTAATACGACAATCATTGCATAGATGCCATGTGATCCTATTAATCATTAAACTGTCTAACACTTCTCTTGACTCTGCAAAAAGTTAGTCTAATGATTAATAGGATCACATGGCATCTATGCAAGCGTAGAGTCCTGCATCAGAATCAGTTTAGCTTCTCTAAAAACAAAGGCACAGTAGATGCCATCCATCAGGTCATTAACTACATCCACCAGGCTAAACAAAGCAATCAACATACCGCAATTATTACTATTTTTTCCAATCCGCAAATCATATATGAAAAACACATTTATAAAATTAAAAGACAAAAATTTCAGCAAAAATAAATTTTATTAATAATTCATTTATAATCTATTACAATTTTCAGTTTACTCTCATTTGTACAGTGGATTATAGAAATGCTTCTGTGATCTTTTTCTTAAGAGCAAATGTGAAGTCGAGATCAAAGTAGAAAATTGGAAAAAAATTTGATAAATAAACGATATAAATCGAAAAGAAAATAACAGTACAGTTAACCATAAATACACATTAAAAATTCATAAATTTAAGCATGTTTAGTTATTAATTATCTTCATGTAGTAGCACCGAAGAAAAGAAAAAGAAACTGTGACAACCCGGGCAAGTTCAATTTAGCTAATTAAAAAGAACTCGATTTAATTTTATAAATTTTATTTTGTGAAAACTATAACGAAAGAAGGTTCCATGTCATAGATACCGACAAGGAAACACTTCGATACTTTTTCCACGAATTGAACTTCCTCCACGAGTGACACAGCTTCTAAATCATCGAGGAAAATGGAGACAAAATCGCGAATTTAAGCAACCAAAACATCACCAAAAATAACTATTAAAATGCTAGGGGGAGGACCCCAAATAAACGAGTAGGGAACAAATGTAGCAGAGTGGCCTGTCAACAAAATCGTGTGTGTTTACTCTCGTCATGTTCCATCGCTTTTCGACCTCCCGCTATTCACCGGTCCTTAGTCACTTCGAACTAATAAAGATTCGATTGTGAACAGTACAATCAAGGACTTTCGGATTTAAAACCGACATTAACCAGCGAAAGAATCTCCTTCCTTTCCTCAAGAAGCCCAAACCGATTTTCGCCGATTCAGGTATTTACCGACACGCATCCGAATTTGTAAGCTTACTCCCCACGTGCTAAAACTCTACCATTTACATTACGCTTTGTAAGTTTGTGATCACTTTTTTGAATAAATTATTGTTATTTAATATTTAAAAGCGTAGTGAATTGCGTTATTTCTAGCAGACTGTTGTCAACTCCCTCCTCTACTTCGAACTCGTTTGTTTACATACGCAACCGCTCCCGCGAGATTATATTACGCGAAGTCACAGCGGTGTCAGTCCTGACTTCGGCATTGCAAACGTAGCCGTCGCAGTGCCGACCTAACAATCACAAAACGATTAATTCAATAGTGCTGCGATTTCTCTTTAGAAAATTTTATGACCGTGCCAGAAAAGTAAAATTTTCTGGGTACCGCTTCCAGGTGCCAAATTTATCTTTACCAAAAAAATACAAAAAAAAAAAAACAATTATANTATTTACAGTTTATAAGTGTTTTATGGTTTGCCAATGTATTAATGCAATTAACTCTTCTTACAATACTGATATTCTTCATCTACGATAGGTAAGAAATTTTATTTAATTATACAGAATGAATCGAAACAACCATGAATTAATTTAAAAATTTATATCAGTTAATTTCGGAAACAGCATACAATACAATTAAGATATACTTCGATATGAAGACGTGGCCGTAAACAGAATACAGTTCCTTGATAATACCTTGATATATTTGAAAACTAAACACTTGTTTCCTTAGTATGAAACAATTACCTCCTGGAAAAAGAGATTTTAATTAGACTTGGTTTCGTACAGCTTTAAAACATGCGCTTGTGAATCAGTAATGTTAGTTAATTCGATAATTTACATTGCTCAGATAACAAGAAAATTGAAACCAATAATCTTGATACCATTCGTATGCAAACAGTAGCAATTGAAGCAAGATACTTAGAAAGTCCAAATTAATTATCTTGCTTTTAGTTCTGCTATTGGCATCAAAATTATTGGCAGATTGCACTTTCTTACGTTTTTGCAGGAAATCGAACATAATTTTAGACCCATCTAAAAATTCTGTAATTAGTCTAGAAACGGGAAAACGATTCATTCTGTGAAAACGGATAAGGTTGACTATAACGTAATAATCTTAATCTTCGCTACCGTTACTTTCCCGAGCAACGCCGGTCCTACCTGCTAGTTTATAATAAAAATATAGAGTCTTTATTGCAGCATGGATGGGCAAGATGATTGATCTTCCATTCTTGTCGTCGTGTCGTGTTAGCTGTGGTCGGGAGTGTCGTTTTCGTGTCTGTTTTTGTCTCGTAGTTCTGCCTGTTTGGTATACATGATAACTCTAGAAGCTTCGTTATTGTTAAAACATTATCTTCGTGATCCGTACAGTTTGATTTCAGGCTATACCGAAAACATGTTACGGCTATAGCCTCCATATAAACTGTGTGAAATAAAAAAAAAAAAAAAAAACGTTCTTTCGCAATTTATTTCTGCTCACTTTTTTGTCTTATCCTTATGAATGTTGCAATTGTGTTTATTTTTCTTTCCCTACATTTTTCTTTATAACAGTCACTTTGATGCGACATAAGACGTTCTTCCGCTAAAGAGAGCCTGGAAAAAGGTTTAAGTAAATATGCATAAAATGTTTCTACTTCAAAAAATCCCATGTTATTCTTTTTGTGAAAATCGAAATTCACTGATATGAATTTTTAAATTCCTTCCTGATTTTTGGATCGCCTTTCATTATAAATTTTGACGTAGTAAACACTAGTATTGTGTTTTATTCCAAAGACACGTGGCAAATTTTCCATCAAATTGCTTTATTAGTTGAGTCGATACGGTACATTGTTTTATACTCGTTTCGGGCTTTGCCCCTCTTCAGTCAACTTTTGGTTACACTTTGACTGAAGAGGGACAAAGCCCGAAACGAGTACAAAACAATGTACCGTATCGACTCAACTAATAAAGCAATTTGATGGAAAATTTGCCATTTGTCTTTCGAATAAAACACAATACTAGTGTTTACTACGCCGCAATTATAAGACAGGACACGGTTTCAAAAAAACAAATTTATAAATTTTGAGGTAATAACTCCTTCTAAGAAATTAGCTTGCTCTAATTGTAATTTCCCATTTGTAAAATCATATTTATAAAATCGAATACTTAACAGTAATACTCTAANTGAAGTAGCCGCAAATGTACTGCATCAATTGGGTCATGCATTTGGTTGTCCACACGATCCCCGAAATTGTAAACGAAAAGATACCAGCGGATATTACATCATGCATCCTAACATTCGTGTTTGGGCTTCCGGTACTTTTAATTTTTCTTCGTACTGCAAGAAGAAAATCAGACAATTCATAAAAAGAAAAGGTAAGGAAGATTGAACCATGTCTGGTTTCATATGTAATATTTCCAAAATATTAATTTTAACCAGGTTATATAATATATCCGATAATGATATGATGCGTGCCATCTTGCTACAATGAAAAGTAGCGATTTTCATAATTTATTGTAGTTATCTTCATCTATCGACTTCGATTGTTGTTTTTCATTCGTACCGTTTGATCTATTTTCAGATATAATTTTTTAATAGGCAAAATTAAGATGTGCCACTAGTAGCTTCCCGTTTCCTCGTGTAAGCAAACCCAATCAATAGCCATTTGTTTAATTCCCAACTATAAATGTACCTGTATAATGTGTGAGTGTGAAATACCGGTAATTTAGTATATCTAAATATATAAAATTGCTTGTCCTGACTGACTGACTGAATGAATGACTTACTCACTGATTCATCATCGACCAGAGAAAACCGCTGGACCTAAAGAGATGAAATTTGGTACACAGTTAGGGTACGTCATGAAAACGCACACTAAGAAGGGATTTTTCGAAATTCCCAAGTGGGGGGGAGAGGGAGAGCATTAAGGCTTAACCGAAAGAACGGCTTCTACTGTGCTATTTTAGATGCGATTTTTTGTTTTTATCTGCGTTGTAGTAGGGTATGCCATGAGAATGTACACTAAGAAAAGATTTTTAGAAATTCCCCCTCGGGGGTGAGGGAGAGGATTTAGTCTTCATCGAGTACTTAGGTGTATTAAATTAATAACATTTCAGACATTGTTATAAATATTTTTATCCATTTCGATTTTAAAAATGTTCGAATCGTTTTAAATTCGAATTTGGTATTAAATATTGGTTCGATTATAGAACGATTGTAAACGTTCCGAAAAATTTATCAAATTGAAAATAGTTAGTTTGATTCTCGGCAATTCTCTTCAGCGGTAGGTGTTATATAACAATTACTATGGTTATTGAAATATTGAATGTAAATGGGGTTTGCATGCAAAACCTCGAGGACGAAGTCGCGGGTAACAGCTAGTATCTTATAAGATTCTCTTGTTTGTCTTTTCCACGAACTTTTACACAAGCTTAATTTTTTCATTCCCTATTTAATACCTGCTTTCTCACTTCACTGCAAAAAATTGAATTCATTACCAAGTCATAACACAACGACATATGAAGATGTCATGAAGAAAAAGACTTCAATCACAAATGTTGCGTATTAATGATTTCAAAAGCCATCTCTCACATGGGTCAGTTTTTATTAATTATCCGACTGCCATTTTCTGGTTATAGCATTTGTAACGAAGATATACTTTAACGGCGTATCCTCGAGCTGTCAGGTTGTAATTAAGTTTTCATTTTTTTTACTATTATTTCACTTTTAATTGAAATTGGTTTCAGTCGATTAATTCGCTTAATGGGATTTGGCAAAGAAACGCATGGGCAATCTTCCAACGTAAAATGCATCGCGGGGTTTCTAAGGGAATCGTGTTATTATTTAAGTGTTTTCAGACAATTCTAGTGCCTTGCATGGGTTCGGCTTAATACAGCATTTTCTTAAAACTACATGTGATCATAACTTATTCAACTCCCATAGCACTCATCTTATCATATTTTGTTAGCATTTGTTGGTTACGTTGCTCTGCATTTATTGCAAATTTCATGTGATATGTATGAAAACCGTTAATATTAGTAAATTACTTTGTAATTTTATACTAGAATTTTCATTGAAATTTGTGTAAATTTGTATTTTTTCTTTAGAAATAGATTTTTGTCTGAAGTCACTCCAACGATCTGTGTGTGGAAATGGAATTGTCGAGGATGGAGAATCCTGCGACTGTGATTACTCTACCGGTAAATGTAATATACAGAAGACGTGCTGCACAAATAAAAATTCTCCATTACCGTGCACGATTCAAAGAAAAAAAGATTGCTCACCTGCTACAGACGAGTGTTGCAATTCAAATTGTAAACTGAATACACGCAACGATATAAAGTGTTTAAGCAACATACTATGTCATAACACTACCGACGTATGTGCTACTAATTCGTCATTTTGTCCAATGAAACGACAGCCAGACCGATCACCGTGTATAGGTACATCGAAAACTTGTCGTTCTGGGAAATGCATAAGCAACGTTTGTAAAGACAATGGGCTAAAAAGTTGCAGTTGTTTGCCTCTGAAATGGGAATGTCATATTTGTTGCGAAAGCAAACCTAAAATCTGTCAAAGCGCCGAATCACTCGGTTACGTTCCATCGAATCATCAACTCTATATAAAAGTAGAAGGATCATATTGCGATAAAAATTTTGGAATATGCATGAGGTAGGTTATCTTCATTATTTACATTATATTTTACAATATAATTTTATTAAATTAATACGTGATAATTTTCACAGTGACGGGAGCTGCTTATCAAAGAAAAGTTACAGTGTCTGGTACTATATGTCACCGTTGCCTTTCGTTATTTTAATTATTGTAGGTTTAACGTATCTTCCCGGAAGATCTAAATCAAATTACAACGAAGACATTCTAACGACAATACGAAAGAAAAAGGTGATGAAATCGCAACAGAAAGATAAAGAAGAGAAACAATCTTCAATTAAAACGATCAAACAGGAAGTGCATTCATTAAGTATAAAATCCAAGAAAGATATACAATTACCAACGCAAGAACAACAAGAATCTCAAGAACCTACTGAAGTCAAGAAAAAATTTCAATTGCCTATTCGATTGAAACAAAAGCAAAAGCAGATACCAATGAAAACCATCAAGAAACAAACGCAGGGTGAACCTTCTCCTGTCCAAACACAAGTCGAGCGAGGAGAGCAATCGACTAGTCGAGCAAATCCAGCCAAAAAAGTAAAAGTATTCGTCAAGAAAAAGTTAAAACCGAAGACACTAAAAGATGAAAATTGAAATATCATCATTTTCATCCAATATTTTTTCTCGCTTCGCAATAAATTTCAATTTCTATGACTAGAAATAAGTTTAATTTCTCTCGAAAATTTCATCGTATATTTCTACTTATAACCTAACTATAAATTGTTGTATGAACATATGTAATAAATTCTAAGATATTTAAAAGCTAATTTCTTCAACAGATCTTTAATTTAAAACATTTCTATGAAATATATAAAATCGATTGCGTAAACTTACATTTTAGTTAAGTATAATAGTATTGTCTGTTAAACAAATCGTATAATATGAATTCTTTATAAGGCGCTTCTCGTTCAAGGTGACATATGGCTATGGATATTTAATTCATTTAAGAAAAATGACTAATACTTTTTTAGGACAACTAACCACTTCCTCTAACCATACAGTCTAGCAAAATTTTTCTGCAATCTTTTCAAATAAAACAAAATAATTTTATTAAAAAATTAAATATTATTGTAAAGAAGAACGAATAAAAACGAATGAAAGTATTAATGATTAGTGTTATTTTATTAAATTACATAATATAAATTGATCGCAAATATTAAAACGTAATTTTTACTTTATTCTTCAATACCAAACGAAAAAGTATAAAGTGTTGAAGATATTCCACAATATGTGACATCGGTTGTGTGGTATCAGGCATAAAAGACACAAGTACAGGTGCAGTGACAGAGTTCAAGGATAACCATTAACTGGTACCAGTTAAAATGGAAACTTTATTGTTTCCTTTTTTATTCGCGTATAATAATTTTTTAACATATTTTTTAGTCCAAGCTCTATCAAATGCAAATGGAAATAATTTTTATGCAGTTACGTGGAGCGGATTACATAACTTTTCACTATATTACGATTAGTAGAATATCCGCCATTTTGTATAGTTTCTATAGTGTATAAGATTTCTAGACTTATCACACCATCGTTATATACCTCACCAATGCATTTTAAACTAGACAAGATGCTAATAATTAGAGATCAACTTTTAGAACTCAACGTATTAAAAATGAAACTTTTAGAAGAGAAGAAGAGGAGATATGAGAGGGAAGTTTATATCACAATTAAACAGACAGCCTTCGTGGCACTCTGAAATAAAAATAAAGGCAAAGCTCAACTTAACCCTAAGAAAAAGAAGCAATTCTCTGTCAAGTGCAGCAAACAGCAGCAAACAACCACACAAATTATCCGAATGTGTCCTTTATAGAACAAAAGGAATAAACACAACACAACAGTAGCTACATTTGAATATTGCGAATCTTTATCTTAAACACTAAGAAAGGGGGAATGGTGTCTGAGTATAGCGCAACAGTACAAATATGGATATGAGAAACAATTCATAGAAATAATGAAAATTATTCCACGAAACCCTAAAAAAATCATTCAAAAGATAATCCAAAAATAAAAAATATCCAAATATGGCACAACATAACATCTTGAAAATCTAAACTTCAGCGAATTCAATAATACGCTTCTTGCCTAGTGTTGGATTAAATTTATAAACGCTTTATCGGCTTTTCTTTGTTGCTAGTCTTATTACACCATCATCCGGTAGAAGACCAACTTTAGAAAATCACATTTTATTTCTAAGAGAATGCATTTCGGACATTTAGTCCCTCATCAACTAACCCTTTACGACGTAAGTATACTTAGGGAATAATGCATACAAGTTTATGTTAACAGGAAAAAACAAAATATATTTTTTTTAATTTTGTAATTTAACTTACATATTTATGAAACGTGCAGTAAGATGACAATCCGTATAAAACCTGAGTACAAATGATTGATTTTACGGTATTTATTACAATAATAGTAGAACGTTAACAATTTATTGCGGATATGTGTTCTTTAAGACGAACGTTCAGAGCAATGGGCAGTGTGTAAATAAAAAGAAAAAAATGCTATCAAATTCCAGAGTTTTTCTACGAATATTATAGTTGCACCATAAACCAGTTTATGGCCTTGGTACCAAGGCCATAAACTTGTTTACGGTGAAAAACGTTTTTTATTCCATTGTTTTAACGGTAAAATCATTGGTTATGTTGTAGTTTTAAAAGTTAATGTTATAAAAGTGTTCTTCGTTGTATATACTGTTTGCCTTTCACTGCTTATCTTATTTGTATTATTTTGTGTATCGTACCGACATGTTCAATGTAATTTAACAATTTTTACATTTACGTTATACATTCGACCCCCTATAACGGTGTAGGTACGTTCCACTTTATAAGAATTTCATGTTGTAGGAATCCTTAAATACATGAGTCAATCACAGCCCTGCACGTGTGCAGTTTACGGATTATGGCTGTTTGAAAGGTTTTTTTCCATAAAATTAATCGATGCTAGACTAATTTGACTCAACATTTCCAAAATACGTATAATTTTTTGGGAATAATCCATATAAACTGTGCTATAAACAAAAAATTGTAGGATTACTTACCGAGTGTGCACCGTTCGATGACGCCATTGCTTAAGCTTGTTTTCGTCGCGGAGCAGCGCACCAAACGGCGGTCGCGATTGCTGATAAGTTATTTTTCTGCGAAAAATTCGTTGAACTTTGGAGACATCATTAATAGAAATAATTTTTATGGCAATTGAATAAGAAATGTTTTTTCACAAGAAATGTATAAAATTACAGTGCTGTATTAGACTTACAGTATCTAATTTATATACTATACAGACGATAGTAAACTCAACTTACCAGCCTAAACTCTCTGTAGCGTGTAAGTAGTTCGGCTGCTCGTCCACTATTGGTCCAGATTCGACCAATCTTATCGCGACACGAGTCGGCGATGACGTTTTACCGAATTTTACGAGTTTCTTTTAGCGTCTTCATACGAATACTGTCGCAATTTTTTCACCGCGATGTACGAATTCGCATTATATGAACCCGCGTTATAGGGAGGGTCGACTGTACATACTGTATGTTTTAAATTGTTAACGTTCTACTGTTATTATAGAAAATACCGTAAAATCAATAATTTGTACTCAGGTTTTGTATCGATTGTCATCTTACTGTACGTTTCATAAATATGTAAGTTAAATTACAAAATTAAAAAAAAACAAATATTTTTTTTCCTGTTAACATAAACTTGTATGCATTATTTCCTAAATATTGTTACATCACAAAGAGTTAGTTTATGAGGGATTAAATGTCAGAAATGCATTCTCTTGGAAATAAACTGTGATTTTGTAAAGCTTGTCTTGCACTGAATGATGGTGTAATAAGCTTAGCAACAAAGAAAAGTCGATATAGCGCTTATAAATTTTATTTAAAACTACATCGATTTCACAAAGTTACAAACAAAAGAAATGAAACATGGCTTGAAATTTGATAATTCCCTTGAAGAATCTTGCGATCTTACAGAACACATCACGCTCAATACTCTTAAAATTTTAGTGTAAAATGGCCTTTATAGATAAATAGAATTTTGATATGTAAATTTATCGAAATGTCTCGTTTTCTAAAAAATTTCCTCAAACACTAATTAAGAAGTATTTCTCATTCTTCACATTTTCCAATAGAAAATTTCCAGATGCCGCGACATCGGTTTTTATCTAATCGGCCATTAATGAGCGCCATATTAATGATACTAATATTAAATTATTATAAATCCTTTATAATTCAATTAAAACATATTTTAAAAATTGATATAGTTTTTAAGTATATAAAAAACGAGACATTCCTAAATAACAGCATTTTCTAAAATTATTTAATTGTAAATCTTATTTCGATCAATAACAGTAGGCCTATATTATTACTATTATTATTATTATTAGTCTTTCACACTTTAAACTACTACGTGTTCACAAAGACTTAATATTTTCTTCATTGCTGTACTAAAGTATTACGAAGTTAAGTAATAAAATATGTGCAAAATATATAATAAGCATTTGAAACTACGAAAGTTATGATCAGTTTTACAGAAAGTTAAATGGTAGTTTGCCCAAATTTATAAAAAGTGAAGTTTCTTCCATAATTTAAAGTATCATTTGTTAAATCAGTGGCAATTTTTAAATCAGCAACACAATTTTTGGTTTTGGTGGCACCTCTTAATTGTAGTAACGAAGAGAATATGGAATATAAAAGTTTCACTACCTGCAATTAAGAGTAAAATAATTAATTGTGAAGCGTATCCATTTATTTTAGTTAAAAAAAACTTCATCAATTTCTCATTTTTAGCCATAGAATTTACCATACCTTGATGAAAAATGTTTTCTTTACGAAAAAGTATCCGGCGAAAGAAATTCCGAGTGGCATTTTTCCAAAGCGTTTCATAAAATCCAATATCTGAAATGAAAAGAAATTTAATGAATTAATTCAAATTTTGTAAAAACATGAAACATTTTTATGTATTTTGCACTAAGAAAATAATAAACAGCAAACTTTTAGCTTGAACTGAAGCTGAAGTTCGGCAGAAGAAATCTTCTCGATTGTATTAAAGTCACTGTACAACTGAAAGAAGTAACTTGCTTGTAGATAACTCTTATTCAAATGATATTTTCATACATAAATTATTTAATTTCTCATTCAATTTTCTGATAAAGGACGAAAAACTATTTTTAATTATTTATGCTCGAGTACAGCAAAAAATAATTTAAATTATTTATAACTTTTGGAATAAATTTCGATCGAACAAACTTTCTATGTCTAAATTTTGTTTAGACACACATTTGGAATAATTAAGACAAATCTGTTTCTCTCTCAGATGAATTAAAATTATTACACTTAAACAACGGAATTTCCTTATCTATCTCTACTTCATATTGTGTATATTAAAAATAACAATAATAACGTAACTTCTGGTATTTTATATAAAATATCATACCCATATATAATTTGGGTGTAACGAATAATTTGAAACTCTCTTTTATAGGATATTTCTATATGTTTCCACGAGATATTCACGTTTAGAATATTTCGTAGGAACAAATGTTAAACTATTAATAAAATGTACTTAAACAGCTTTTCGTCACTTACTTTGGAAGATATTTTTGACAGAAAATACGCTATAATCAGACATCCAGCGATCAATATAATTGATAAAATGATTAACACTAACGTTAAAAGAATCCTAAGATTCATGAACAATAGTGCATATATCAACAAACAAGTAAAATGAGTGAAGAAAATATAAATATAAGGCATGAAAAATTCCCACAATTGATTTAGCTGCTGAAACATTTCCCATATTTCCGTGTGTTTTTCAATTAAAGCATTTATTATTTGTTTCAGTTTTGGCGTTTCTTTGTCAATTTCTTTCATCTCGTTTTCAATATTAATTAATCTGTGATATGTAATATACAATGCAGATGTAACAATACATACAACAAATAATATTTGAGCGATGCTATACAGAAAATAAACTCTGAAGTAAATTATACATAAGGCAGCAGTGATATGCGAA